TAGGAATTTCTTTTACTTATGTATTAATCACATTATTTTATTGTATAATGCCTTGGTGCCACTGGATTTTAACATGTCTGACATGTAAGACAAATGGTGGGGGTGTAGTAAGGAAGCTGGGGGAAGCAGACCAGAGTCTTTTGTCTCCTCGAGGACTCTGGGAAGTAACAAGGGAGTGTGAACCTTAAGGTGTGACACAGCTGTGTACTGCCTTTTGTTCCTGAAGAAGGTACAGTATTTAACTGAGAGCCATGCTAGACTCAGAGAACTCTGCTGACCGTCTGTCCCGCGGACATGCAGGGGCTCCATCAGGCTTGATTGTCTGCTGTCTTTGTGTGTTTGGATTAAAGAATGTTAGCTACCGCTCATTTGCAGGCTTTATTTAAGTGGAAAATTTCCACAACAATATATATATCTCTCTATATTTATAGAAATAGATATATAGAGATATAGATATAGACACCTCAAACAATGTGGTAACATGGCACTAAATACAACTGACGTCTTTTGTAGCAAAGATGTGACTGCCATCAAACCAGGATGTGGTGCTCACACAGGTATTGTTAATAATATCTGGTGCAAAGCCCATAAAAACATTTGTGTCGTTTTGGGTAGCATGTGTGAAACCAATCTTGCACTTCCAACACTCTGACCTCTCTTATGAACTTGAGGGATATCCCATTGTTAATCTAGATGTCAGCCCGCCTTTGCAGATATAACAGCTTCACCTCCTCTGGGAAGTCTTTCCACAAGGTTTAGGAGTGTGTTTATGGGATTATCTGATTGTTCTCCCAGAATTGTATTTGGGAGGTCAGACTGGTGTTGGACGAGAAGGCCTGGCTCGCAGTCTCATCCCAAAGGTGTTTTTTTCTGGTTGACCACAGAGGTTGGGACTCTGTGCAGGCTAGTCAAGGCTTCCACACCAAACTCACTCATCCATGTCTTTATGGACCTTCCTTTGTGCAGAGTTGTGCAGTCTTGTTGGAACAGGAAGGGGGCATCACCAAACCGTTTCATCAAAGTTGACAGCATGAAGTTGTCCAATATGTTTATATTAGCTTGTAGTTAGGGCTGCATCAGCTGACCCCGAATCGACCCTTAGATACGTTGGAATAGGCCTAAGCTGCTGGGGGCTTCCCCTCTGTGTTTATACACCCCTCTGCACTTAATCACTAGTTCACTAGCTGGGACAACATCCTTATTTTAGGTTTGACAGCATTTTTATTAGATAATGGTAGATGGTTGAGCATGAAATGAGGCTGCGGTTTGGAGAGTGAATACATTCAAAGGAAGAGGGCGAGTGGGGCACGAAAACAAAAAATGAACAATGTGTAGTGCTGGGTGGGTCATATGAACCAGAAGTGTTCAATATGTGTCCTTAGACATTTTCAGCCCAGAAAGTTCACTCAGTCATTCAAGGAAACTGAGCACTAAGTCAGAAGGAGAGCAGAGTAAGTATTGACTTCACCAAGTGGCCAAAAACATGGTTACAAATATTACGATCATAGTCTGTGTTCGTATGTCTCTTCTATATCTCCGCCTAGACTCCTAAAGTAATCTGGATAATTAAAAATATATTATCAACATTTTTTTATGTATAGAATGTTACATATAACAATATAACACTCAAATTCATACAAATGATATCTCAAAAAAACATCAACATTAAACGTATGTCTGTGAAGGTTCTCAGTCA